AGAATACGGAGGCTAGGGTTGAAGAAGAAGATTCAGAAATATAAGGGGGGTCAAAATTTCAAGATTGCCCCCCTTAAAGGGCCCCAACGGTAAAAGACGAGGGGCAAAAACGGAAACGTGGGAGGATGGGATAGCGGCCGCTCTAGCCGCTATTTTCGGCATTTTCTGCCACTATTCGCGGCGCGACAACCGCTACTGTGAAACGCGACAGGGACGCCATCGCGGGAAAGGGCCACTCTGCCCTGCTCCGCCGCTATTGACTACTCTGGTACAAGCATCCACACAGGTTAGGAAATACCTATAACCACAGCTGGACTCAACAGAACTAGGGCCCCACAAATCACAGAAAACAAGTTCTAAAGGATTAGAGTAAGTAAAAAGGGAAGTAGTAGAAGGAAGCTTATGAGATTTTGCAATAACACATGAATTTCAAAAATCTGATTTTATTGATTTTGATATGGGTATTTTACAATGATTTAGAACTTGTACAAGAGCTTTGTAATGAGGATGTCTTAGCCTATTATGCCAAAGCATAAAGCTACTAGTATCAACCATATTACAAGGATTACCCAAATTACAAGTACTAGTATTTGAATTACAAGACATATTGCTAGGAAAGACTAGATTACAATGTTTACCAGCCTTTTTACTACAAGAATTAGAAAAGTTTTGAGATTTTTGATGATTTTCATGTGAGAAGCATCTTGTGGCTAGCTTAGGGAAGAATCTGTAGAGACCATCTCTTCCCACAGTGCCATACAGCAAGACTTCATTCGAATCCTGTTGTTTGATGGAACAATCATTGGGATGAAACTCAAAGAAACATGAGTTATCTTTTGCAAATTTACTGACACTAAGTAAATTTTTAGACAAAGAAGGAATAAGCAGCAAATTACTCAAAGACACAACAGAATTAGGATTAGTGGGGGACCTAAACATGTTTGATGCTTGTTTCTGGACTCTTTAACCACAATAAATCCAATGGGCCCTTGACATTTTTTCCTTTTTTGGTTGCAGTACAACCACTAACATAAGTTGATGCAACACTTGAGGTTGCAGGTCTTTTTTCACTATGAATATTTTGAATTTCTTGCACCTCTTCTTTCTCATCATCATCTTCATCATGCTAAAGTAAATATGTCTCTTTTTCAATTTTCTTCTTCTCATGAGCTGCTATTAGTGTTTCTTTTATTTATTTGGGAATCATTGGACACCTATCAACATCTCCCTTCACTCCCATCTGGTGCCTCTTTGCTCGGGTAATACCGTCTATAGTTGTTTTTCCACAAAAGTCACAAGTAATAGACTTTTTATTATTTATGTCTTTCAAACTATTCCATTGCCAACCTATATCCAAATTATTTCCCAGGGCTTCACTAATGCATAGGATAAAATCGAAACAGAGCCGGTTCCCTGTGATTAATTGGGAGGAGCAGCCATTACTTCTACTTTAAGCTTTGAAATTTTCAATAGAATATAATAGAAGAATCAAAACAGAAAAGAAAAAAACACAGAGAAAATTATAGGAAAAAACAATTGTTCAGTCATCGGAAAGTTTGCCTGAGTTGGAGAAGATAATCGGAAAGTATTTGAGTAATGTCAAAAGTTGTGTTGACCTTGAAGAAGATGACAAGAGATGAAGAAAATGACTGAAAATAATATGGGTCACCTTAGAGGCTCATCAGAGACGAAGAAAATGACCGGAAAATGTCCCTTCTTTGGTAGAAGCCTCATCGGAGATGAAAGCTACACTTCAGATGTGGAAAAATAGAGAACAGAGGAGAGCTTATTGAAGAGCTGTGGAGAGAGTTGAGAGGTGACTTGACGGAGGCTAGGGTTTTGCATAAGGAAGAAGAAGATTTATAAATAAAAGGGAGGGGGGTGAAATTCCAAGATTGGCCCCCCTTGAAAGGCCCCAACGGTAACAAACAAAGGGCAAAACTGGAAATTTCAGGGGATGGAATAGCGGCCGCTCCAGCCACTATTTTTGCAATTTTCTGCTGCGATTCGCAACGCTACTGTCGCTGCACGTGACGCTACAGGGTCGCTGTCGAGGGAAAGCGCCGCTCTGCCACGATAGCTGCCGCTATAAGCGCTATTGACTACTATGCTTTCTACCCGTTTTTACTAGACTAAAAATTATGCCATCCACTTTGTGTATTGGTGCTTCTAATAGCTTTCTTTGCATGTGATTAATCCACTTTAAATGATCTTCTGTCATCTTTTTCACTATAGGTATTATTCTAATATTCTTGCGTATACAATCATTTTTTATCCTATTATTTCTTGTGTGACTAATGTTATCAATGACGGATGTCAAGTCATGATAGAAAGTCAAAAAAACTGCCATAAAGTTATGGTGGATATCGTGGCGAGTTATGGAAGATATAATAAAATATATAAAAAATATTATAGGTTATAGGAAATAATAGAAAGTAATTAACATAAAGCATAAAACATAATTCAATACAAAATAAACATTCATCAAATGTCAAGTTAACAAAACAAAGTGATAGAAATTATTTGAGGAAAAAAAGAGAAAAACAAAATGATTAGAAGCACTTGAAAGATTTGATGAAGATTCTTGTTCAGCTATGTTAAGGAAAGCTGAAATAAAGAGAGAAATTATTTGAGAAAAAAAGAGAAAAATAAAGATGTGAGAGAGGGAAACACTGAAATAAGGAAAACTGAAAGAGGGACAGGGAAAAATGAAAAAAAAAAAATTGTTACTAGAAAAATTTGAGTCATTGTTGATAGAGGTAGCAGTCACCGAAGATGTAGCGTTCATTGGTCATTGGAGCTGTAGCAACAACACTTGTCGAAGACTAACGAATATTGAGGAAAAACAATGGTTGAGTGAGTGAGACTGTGAGAGTGAGGATGAATTGACGAAGAACTCAGATCAAGCAATAAATACAAAGATGAAGCAAAAAGGAGCAGCAAAAAGACGATAATCGCATGAAGTAAAAGCACGAAGAAGAGAGACGAAGATGTGACCTGATTTAGGGTTTGGGCTTGTGGGGGGTTTTCTCTGTAAACCAGATTGGGTTTGCTGCCCAATCCAATTTTTCTTGTGAAAAATGTCATTTTCAGCATGACTGCTATCACCGCCATAGCTGCCATATGCATAACGGCTACCAAGGCACTGTTACTAAAAACTGCCATATTTTGCCATGGTCTTTGTGGTTTGGTTGAAAAACACCACCGTTACCCACTATGGCGCCGCCATAACCATTTTTTAAAATCATTGCATGTGACTACTTATTCATTTTAACATTCTTATTTATGTCATTTTCAATTTTTTCTCATGTTGTTTTCTTAAGGTCTAACATTCATTACCATATACGATAATTGGTCGTATAGTAGTGTGTTTAAGTTTCCCTTTTAGCTTGATAGATACTTTATAATCACAAATAACTCTTGTTTTTTTTCTACTTTAATTAAATAGCTTGTATTATATAGGTAACATTTTCATTAATTTCTCCATCATTCTGTAAAATCGATTCCAAGTACTTGAACTTGGAGACTTGTCTTTCTCATTTAGCCCTTTGAAACCAAAACTATTATGAGTTGTTCTAAATTATCTTACCTCATAGCCATGTCTGTTTAGTTCTTGGCTTAGGAATTTTTTTCTTGTGGAATGTCTTGACAGACTCCTCAAAATCTTCCTAAAACTTTTCTTTTCAAAAGAACTTCCAAACTCATAGGGCATAAGCTCTAATGATATTAATGGTTTCCCATGCAACCCTTAACTTTAAAGATAATATCTTGTCCCAAAACTTTTTGATGTCCACCACATTCTTTTTTCAGATTTTGTCCATAATGATATCTATTCTACTCTTTCCTCTCGTTTTCCTTGTGTACCATAGTTTAAAACATGTAGTGTCTTGCTCTTCAGTGTTTTTTTTCAAGTCATTTAGTTTTTTGAAGACACATAATGTTAATCCTTCTTCAAATCATACTGTCCCCCACTTCCAAAGACATGCCTTTTAAAGTACCAAAATCTTAAGAGTGAAACCTAATTAAACACTTTTGGACTAGCTTCTTTACTTACATCTGTCTTGACAAATGTGAAGACCTTTATTCATATAAGACTACATCTGGACATCGATGCATTTGACACTGTATTTGAGCCATACAACATGTTACTTTTGGGTGACGACCTAGCCTTGGCACGATGCTGTTGTGAGTGATCTATGCATGAGTTTTGACTAGTTTTACAGTGGTTACCAAGAAAATAACACAATGTGAATCGTAATCATTTCTTTATTTATTCTTTCATAGGAAGAATAGCTTGTGCATAATTTGTTTTGTTGGAGCCATTGATGTCTTGGCCAACCTCCATGTAGAACAAATGGGTATCCTTCATATATATGCATACTAACTTTTCTGGGATTAAATATCTTGTATCAAGGCATTGGAATGTCAAGTTCAACTACAAATTGTGGGAAGGAAACTATTAATGTGATTTCCTTGTGATATTGGGTGCTAGAATTTTGGAGAGGTGGTTGGTGTTTAAGTGTGTTTTGTAGGGATTGGCCTCAACACTTTTAGGTAGATGATATAGGGGTTAAGTTCGTTAGATTGTAATTTGCTTATTGCTGTTCTTTTTTTTCCTTCCATCCCAACTAAAAAATATGCTTTAGCACATCGACTACAGTTAAAACAGAATATTGCATCAACATATTCATAACTTGGCTTATGTTTGTCAGAAAGGATGGTGTGGAGTGTAAATTTTCAATGATAATGGGGCTGATGGTCATTTTGAAAAACCTTGAGAGGAGTGAGTGTTATTTACTCTTTTCTTTTAATAAACAGGAAGTCTTCTACGTGGCTATTGGCTAATCATGATATCTATGAGTATGAGATTTTAATACTAATCTCATAGCTGATGTTGCATTCTTCTTCACATTGTCTATGTAATAGGATTATTCATTGTGTGAAATCAAGAATTGACTACAATATATGCTAATTTATTGTTTTTGCTTTTTCAATTTTAGGCAAGTTTTCACGTAAAATTTGTCAACTCAACTCACCATAAACAGGGTGACTGAGGCTTTAAAACCATTGGAAGTTCATACAATGGCAGGAATAGCTATACTTCTGGATCTATGGAGGAAAAACCAAAAGCTTAGCTCTGGATTGCACTCATCTTCTCACGCCTTTCAGTCTTCTTCTGCCTTTTTCTCTGCCTCTGCTGCTACTGCTGCTACAGCATCTTTTGTTGCAGGGACTAGTTTTGCCTCAAGAGCTGTGTTTGGGTATGCTCTGCCTCCATTTTTCTATGGATACATTGTTAGTGTTTCAGGGATGTGTTTGCTTTGATATGTTGATTGTTGTTGATCTAGGGTTGGATACACAATTTGACAAAATATGATTGATTTGGTTTTGATGATTTGGGTATGGTTGTGGATTACTATACATTCTACTTTAAAAATTTATCTGGTTGGTGAAAATTTGGTGTTGTATTTGTGGATAAATGGGTTGTATTGTTGGGGTGTGTGTGTGTACTTAACCTTTTTTTTTTGTGTTACTTAATGTTTTAATTGTATATGCATATAAGGGGATTTAGTAACTAGCATATCTGAAGGAATTACCATTGACACACTTTTAGCATTTTTTATGAACGAAAGGAGGAAAATTTATGAACATCTGTGATGTTTGTAGAAGTCTTTTTTGTAGAATAGCAGACTAGTCTGTCCAACTTCAGCTTAACCTGGAGCAATAAGCATATATTTACATTTAGTTGTCATGCAATTTTAGTTTCAGGTCACCAGTTGCCTATTGTGATGCTGGTGTAGCAATATCAGAAGACTATATTTCTAATGTACAAAGTTCTGAAAGGAATCAGAATTATGACGCTCTAAGATATAGTACCAAGCAGTATTATGTGGAACTTAAACCTCTCCTTTCTGCTTTTGAATTGAGGGCATTTGCAATGACATCCATAAGGTCGTTCTTAATGTTCTATTTGCCTCTTTTGGAGCCTCGTGCGGAAATGGAAGATGATGAGGATTTTCTGGAGGAGAATCAAGAGCACCATGTTGATCTAGTTGTTCCCTTCAAAAAATCAGTGAAGCAAATCATCCGTGAGGTGATATTTTATGTTTTTTTCTGTCTATATTCTTGGTTCTGTAAAAGTTGTATCTTGCAATATTTATGATTTATGTGTGATTTGCTATTAGTATTAGTGGCTGATGTTCTGCTGCTATATATAGCTTTTATCTCATGAACTCCATGTCTAATTTATAAATAGCTCCTCTTCATTCCAGACACAGATAGATAACATATTATTTGAGGTGGACAGTTGTTTCTTCTATTTGTTCAAACTTCTTTCGTTCTCTACACTCAATTATAATACTTTCATATTTTTGGGTCATACTCAATGTAGGGTAATGACCTTGGGAATAAAATTGTTTCTTTCAACAAAATTACAGGGAAAATAACGGGCATATGTAGATTTGTGAAAATGGCTTTTCTTCTGGTCAATGCCCTGTTGCTATTGAAGAAAATTTGTGTTATTTAGAACTTTCTGAGACAAGCTAACTATATGCGATGTACATTTTCAGGGATCCATATTGCCATTTTACTAGCTCTTATTATTTTAAATCAGTTTACTCTAATATCTTGCATATCCCATTAGTGGGATTCCAACTGCAGCTTCATTCTTCATAAAATGAGTTTACTTTTTCTTCATCTTCACATTCATTGTTCTAGACTGTAGACAACCTTAGAGAATGTCTTCTTGATTAAACTCACCTTTTAGAATCTGCACAGGTGATCCAACTTAATCTCTACTTAGGTGTTAGTAGATCGACAATTAAGAGGTGTATTTAAAAGCTATGAAGCCCAGATACTTAATGCAACATGGGTATGTTATGACACTAATATGGGGAATTATTAAAATTCAAGATACGATATATGACCTAGAAAGATTAACATGAATTAAAAAAAGTATTTTAGCATAAATGCACAATATTTGTTAAAAAGAATTGATAATTTCTCATCAATACATTACCATATCGGTGGATGATGATCTCAATTTACAAAATATTAATTTTGATCTTGACAAAAAACCATGATTGCATATCTTTTTGTTGCCCTTAATATGTTCTTTCCTCGATACACATGTCATAAAAGTTACATATTTTAACCCAGTACATTTCACAATGGCCACAAGCCTTCATTAGTTTTTATTCAAAAGAACTCTAGGTTCTATATAATTTCCTACTATCTATAGCTTTGAGGATATACAGAGGAAAAGATAGAACCTTGATGGAGCCATGTGTATTTTTAATCCTGTTCAAAGTTTCGAAGCCATATCCCTAACTTCTCAGTCTAGAAAATTTAAAATTAAGAAATTGGAGGGTACACCCTGGATACATGCCTAGGCATATTATAATTTATAAGTGTATTAGGTATCAATATGGGTATGACTGTATGACAGTGATACTTCACCATTTTTGGAGTATTGGGGCTTCATAGAACAGAAGAAATAAGGGCGAGCAAAGGGAAATGCAATTTGGGTCAATTTCAGCTGTGTAGAACTTCCTAACCTTATTAGAGAAGGGAAAGCAACAGGACATGAGAGAGGGGGAGGGAAATTGAAAGAGTAAGGAGATTCTGGAGTAGAGTTTAAGAGGGGAGAGTTAGGAACCTCAAACATCCTATATAGTTAAGAGAGATTTGTGCTGTTTTTTCTTCCTTCTTGATTCAGTAATCACCCTAGTTCCAATGCAAGGCGAGGAGTTTTCATTCAATAAAGTTCTGTTTATTTTTTCTGATCCAATTTCTACTAATAGCTTCTAAAATTATGCAGCAATTGCATGAAGGTTCTTGATATCTTGCTTCTTGACTATTTCTTAGAATGGGGCAACCCTAGGAACTCTGATTATGAAACTGGTGTAGGATAACATCCCTAGGGTTGAAATTCTAGCATTCAAGAAATAGGGAGAAAAAATAATGGGCAATTAGTTTTGGCATACAACAAAGGGTGGGCTGGTCTAAGTAAAAACCCGGTCAAAGTAACAACCAGGTAATATACAAGAAAATGCAATCATATTGGAAACTGAGCATTATTGTGATAACTGTTTCTCAAGTATATAGAAATCTAACCTGTAGAATTCCGTTAATCCTGGTCATCTAAAGTAACCTGAACAAAGAAAATAAAAAAATAAAAAAACCTACTGTGTGAATTCCCTTAATTCTGCTGTGTGAACAGTGCTCATTGACAATAACTCCTTTGTCCTCCATCAATACTATTAATCTTGTTGATTATATGCAGACCTGTACAGTATGTGGCTGTTTACTTTTTTCTAAACTACATTTGAAATTGATATTGATTAGTTAATATAATATATGCAGTATCTAATGATCTCCAGGAATAAAATTTTGACATGATTGGTGTGGTCAAAATTGTTGTATGCTTCCAATGTCCTCTGTTATATTTGCATTGATTATATATAAAAATAATATGCTTATCTACTTACTATAGGAGTACCCTTACCAAAAGCTATACAAACTTCAGCTTCTATAAAGGGATGATATATTTTCTATTATATTTGATAAACTGACATATCAGTGTAAGCCTTTGCTACCAAGCTAGTTAATTTCCCTAGATATTTGACATTTGAGAAAGACGTATTTATATGCTGCTTGGAATTCGTCAACTTTTCAGAATTGACTATATTCATTTGAAATGTTCCAAGTCCAACTTCCTTAACATCAATCTTTTCCCTTTGACTCTATATTCCTTCTGGACCTTGTTTTTGTTGATTCAGGAAGAACAAATTGTTACAATGCTTCCTTTATAAGCTTCCCTTTTATTTGGTAATTACTAAAATTACCTAGTAAATTAGTTGGATTTGTTGACCTTTACTCTATTATGCATGCATCAACAACATGCATATTTCATTGTATTTCTCTGTATAATAATGGTTTAAAACTTTAAATGTATTTATTATGTTAAACGTGTCTTGGATGCCATCACAGACAACTGTTGTGACCACTAGAAGGATTTTAGAAAGAATTGCCGTGCATTATGTTTCACAAAGAATGGCATGGAAGCTTCTTAAAGGTATGTTCTCTCTGAAACTGTTTTCAACTTCAGCCATATTTTAGTGATTGGATGCCCTTGTTTACATAAAGCAGTTATTATTTACTACTAGCAAAATCGATATTTTACGAGTAGGAGAGATGGTTTGATATTTTGAGCACTCCGAGTGACCTCACACGCAGTTGGTTTTTGAGATTTCTTGAACAGATATCCCTAGATCAGCTACTCGCAAGGCTGGAAGGAGCATGCCTACTATGGTTTACTTCTACTGTGTGAGCAGAACAACTTTCAGAGGTCAAAGCAATCCATAAATTACTGTTCATTGAGATTCACTGAGCTTTTGACTTCAACTATGTTGTGCTGATTATCTTGTATGTACAGGACACATGCTTGGAGTTGCAGCATCATGGCTTGTCCAAGTAGGCATTGATTTATATCGATTCTTTACTTCCATGTTCAAGGATCAGCATGAGGATGTTGATGTTGATAAAACCAAGCAAGTTGGAGTTCTTGGACAAAAGATTTTCATTGCTACAGTCAGATGTACTTCATCTCTAATTTTTGCCTCCATAGGAGCAGGGATTGGTGCGACCCTTTTCCGTCCATCATTGGGCCAGTGGATTGGTAAGACACATTCAGAGAATTCCAAGATTATTGCTTAGTGTAGCTGAATTTTGGTGATTGAATCGTGTTAAGCTGATTCTTGTCTGTTTCCCTTCACAAGGCTAAGTTGTGTCTTCTCTTCGTGCAGGGTGTGCTGCTGGTGATTTGGCCGGTCCCATTATTGTCGGATTTTGTGCCGACCAAATATTTCAAGTGAAACTTTTATAGCTAATTATATTTTTTGACAGATTTTTTACCCGCTTTAATTAACTGGGGGTACATTATGAGTTTGGTGTATTTGCTACCATATCTGATTCAGCCACTAAAAGTTGCTAGACTTGCTGTCAGCTGAAAATTTGTAACATTTTTCCCATGATAGATAATTCATTTTTGTTTCAATATAATTCGGTCTCTAAGATATTATGATATTATATTTAATATTTTTTCTAGTACTCTCTTATAAAAATATAATACTAAATCATTAAAACTAAAGAAAGTAATTAAATTAGTTATTTTTTTATAAATATAAATTTTATTTAAAAATATTCATAATATTAAATGATTGAGTTAGTAATTTATATATTTAATGATACTAATAGAAGAAAGATATAAAAAGAATTTAACAAATAATATATTTTGAATTTATCATTTATTTCATATAATAAAAATTAAAAAAATATATTTTATTTTTTATAAAAAGAATAGAGTAATTTACAAGTGATTTATTTGTTTATTTATTTCAGCACATGGGTCGAATTTAATTTAAAAAATAGAAACATCTCACTTATTTCCTTGTACATGATTATTAGACCTATGGCCGGTTAGTTTTATAGGTAATACATTTAGTTAGTCAAGAAATTCATTATTGCTCAATAGCGTTAGTCTTTGAATTTCTTGACTAATTGCTCAAATTGTAATAAATCTTGCCAAAGTTTTTGTAACCACACTTCAACTTGATTGAATTCCCCTTTAATTTTCAGGATTTTGTCTTTCCTAATCAAAGTTCTATTAATCTACGTAGAAGACAATCCTACACACTTACATGTTGACGTTTTTTTTGGTGAGAATATTATTTTTTATTAATTTAAAAGTGAAAAGAAAATAAAATACACAATTTTTATAATTTTTATTAATAATAAAAAAATATATTACAAATAGGATGTTACTGATGTTAATATACTAGATTTTATATAGATGTGTTGTCCATAAAAACAAACACTCTTATTAAATCAAAGTTGCAAGTCTTCTAAAATGTCTTACATATTGAAATAAATAGAATTAAGATAAACCTAGTAGTTTTAATTATCTCTTATCTTTTAATTAAGAAAATAAAAAAATAAATTAAATTAAAAAATGAATAATTAACTTACAATACCTTTGTGAAATTTTAATTTTAAATAAAAAAAACAACACAAAAACACATAAAAATTATTCTTAAATTCTGTCCATATTTTATATCCAAAATTTTAATTTATTATAATTATAACCTTAAAGGTAATGGAACACATATTACCTTTGTTATTAGTTCGTAGCAAATTGAATTCAAGTAAAAATTTAATGATTTTATAAAAATAAAAATTACCATTATCAGTAACAATTTTTAAAAGGATACTTTTTTAATACCAAATCTCGTCATCAGCGATTTTGTTTTTAATCATCGAATTTTAAATTTTTTTTATATTTTCGTATTTTAATATTTTAAAATTTCCCCCGTATTAAATAAAAAAAGCAATGTTACATTGAGAGCTTCATCTAGTTCTGCTTTCTCCATGCTATCGAATTGGTTCTCCAGCTCTAGCTCTCTTTGATGAGATTTTGAACCTTTCTCCATTCATCCTACACCAAGTGATTAGGTATGTGCCGCGTTTTCTCTCTCTCAACGTTATTTTGAACCCTAATTCTGTTTCTAGTTATAATTTTGCAGCTTTTGTTGTTCTCTCGTGCTGATTTTCTCTTGCAAAAAGCGGGTATAGTTATGCTTCTTCGTTTCAATGATTCAACTCCCGTGATTATTTTGTATTTGTAGACACAAAACATCTCATTAAGGGACCACATAAATAACTCACGGGGTTATTTTTCTGTTCTGGATAGATAACACAGTAATAGATGAGAATTTGTGGCATAGAATTGAACTATGTATGTTTTTTACATGATGAGCAATTATTGGTTGATTGATACCTACATATTTTTGTCATCCGTGAGTTGTGTTGAAAAGTGAATATACAATCTGAATTCTGAAATATGTTGAATGTGGCCTGAAGAGTGAATATGCATGTTTAATCTGAAATATGATTAATATTATAATATCTTGAGGAGTGAATATACAATCTGAAATATGCAATTCCAAAAATATGGGATAACTATTTTGTTTACTTAAGATTAATCTATTTAGAATGGAGTTAATTATTTTATGTGATAACTTAGATAAATCATTTTTATATGCGCCAAACCGGTAATTCAGTGACATTTGCACTTGCAGTGCCACGTGCAATTTGTAGATTCCACTCTCCGCGTCCCCAAGGTTGAACTTAATTTGCCACATAGTTCCTTGGTAACTACCATCATTTTTCTTCCTGTATTTCATGCACTATTTTCATATTTCATGAATAACAAAAGGTGCTTTTAAAGAAAGAGGTGAGTATGCCTTGGTGAGCAGTACAACACATCTTGTCTAAGCAAAAGCCATGGTAACTACCATCTTTCAATATTCTTATCTTCTCTTTTCCAATGTTCTTCTCCATCCCTCCTTTCTTTTCATTGAACTCTTAATTCCATTCCAATCTCAAAACTTGAATAAACCACCAATTTCAAGTTGGACCAAATCCTAAGTTCAAGCCTCCTAAAAAGACAAATTGAAAAATTGAATATATAATATTGTATAGAGTGTAAGGTTTATTTTGTACACAACTTTATTTTGTTCAATGTATAGTCTTTGTAATACAATTTTTTTTCTACTTAAAATGTATTATTGTTTTTCATACTTGTGTTGTAAAATTGCTGTTTTTTTTAACACAATGACAAATAAAACCAGGACTGTTTTATAAATATTGGTGTTTATATAATGCAACCATGCTTAAGCTTTTGTTGTTGTTTATGTTAAGTTTTTGTTGCTATTTTCATATATTCTTTGTTGTTTTCATAATGGTTTACAACAAAATAAATATGCATGTATTGCTAAATGAGCTTAACACTCTAAAACAAAATGAAAAAAAAATTATAGGGAGAAAAATCACCAAAATTTTTTGATACTTTCTTTCTTTTTCTTTTTATGTTTTTCTGTATTCTTTTGTTCTTTTAACTCTATTTTCACATTGATTATTAATATTATTTATTTTCTTAAGTTTTCTTTTTTTTCTCTATTCTCTACTTTCTCGTTTTACAGTAATTTTTCTCTATTCTTTTTATTTCTTTCTGTTTTTCTTTTACATTTGTTTCTTGTCCTTCTTTTATGTCTTCTTCTTTTTTTTTTTTATTTGTTATATGTTTAATATATTTATATATTGTTATTCTGCAACAAACTATATTATATGGTTATTCTATAAATTGTTTAATACTTTTCTTAAAATGTATATCACGTGACTGATTGAAATTGTTATAATCAATTACGTTTTTTTATACAAGTTTTTTTTTTTAGTTTTGCAACATTTTATATGGAAAAGGACTATATGATACTTATCATGTAAGTGTGGAAGAATTTAGTGCAATATTTCTACTTATTTTAGCTCATGATCTTAAAATAAGAATTCTCAGAGGCATTAATATTTAACTTATATTTTAAATTTTTAAAATTAAATTATATTTATGAACATTCATATATTTTTATCTAATTTATGAGAAAGATAATTCATGATATAATATTAAATTTTAAGGATAAATTATATAAAAATAAATTTACTGTGTCATGATTTTTTAAAAAAATATTCAGTTATTATTTAATTATATCAACTTTAACAATTTATTTAATAAAATTATAATACAAAATTAAATTAACATTATATTATATAATTTGATTTTAACTTAAAATTTTAATTTTTTGAGTACGCCAAAAATAAAATTATATAATAATGAAATTAAAATTCTGAATATTGATTCTAATTTCACGCACCAAACGATTCTTAAGAGAAATTATTTTAAAATATTATTATTTTAATTATTATTTTTAAAAAAAATAAAAAATAAAAAATTCCGTTATTTAATATATAAAATTCTTTTGAAAAAAGTTAAGAAAAGAAATGGTAGTAAAAAGTTGTAAATTACTATTATGAGACAAAGCCCAAACCACTCCACCTAACCCGTTATTTACATTAGTCCTTTAATTAGTGGGCTTTGTCAAGCCCTTATTTTATGTGTTAGGGTCACTAGTCTGTCCACAATATAAATTTTTTTCCACCCTAATATACACTAAAATTTATCCACCAAAATATACATACATACACTAAAATATACTTATGAATCAAAAATTAAAAGTGTACACTAAAATTTATCCTAATTCTTTGATTAAACAAAAAAAAAACACCCGTTAAACTTAACGATCCTATCAATTCTTGATTTTCGTTTCTTTTCTTTTCCTACTCTTTCTCAACAACCAAACACCTGGGAAAACTCAATTTCACCATCTCTTGTACGATTTGCACGGCGAACACTGCCAACCTGTCATTTCATGCATCAGTGCTAGGTTTACACCATCACACACTGTTTTCCTCTTGCCGATTTGGGAATTTTTGGCTGAAACAATTTCTATTTTGCAGTTGCGCACAATTTTTCTCCTCTGAACTCCAATATTCTTTTGTACCTCAGTTGCCTTGTGAGACCTCTCTTCTTAATCTACTTCTACTTCTAGGTTTTCCTTAAGTTCTAACGCTATTATCTTTAGAATTTTTAAGTTTTTATTTATTTATTTTTTATATACTTGCTGCAATTTCATTCCAAACGTGTGTGATGAATTTCACTGGGACTGTCAAAGTTGATGTGGTTTTGACATTATGCTCTCTAGTCTCTACCCTTAAGATAATGAGTAACAGTGTGTGTATTCTACAAACAGGTACTTCCACTGATGTTGCGGCTTAGTAGTTCGCGCTTTACTGTATTCCATTACTTGTTTTAAGTAGTGTTTAGTTGGGTAAGCTAGAATTTCAACTTTGGTGAAAACTTAGAAAACCTGAGAAAAATTGGCAATGACTATCGGTTTAGAAGGATGGAAGAACTTTGAGTTAGAATTATTAAAATCAATCAAATCCAATAAAGTTCACGTTGGCAAGTCTAAGCTGAATTGACGGATTCATTTATTTAACATCAAGATTGTTCTTGTCATTGCTTATTTTGTTTTCTAAGCATGTTATACTCTACACTTAATTCTTTGCTAGTTTGCTAACAAACCTTTTTTTAGAGTACTATTGTGCATTCTAGCTTCTATACTTTGCTTAAATTACAAAATTTGTTAGCAGTTTTTTATCACGCAATATCATCTATGTATATAATATTCATAAAGTTGGTGCTGAGTGATTGATGAAAGTATGAACATTTTAATGTGGAAACATGTAAGATAAGAAAATGAGTTTCAATTCTTATCTTTACGTTGATTTATACCTTATGTGTGAGTTCTTCGATTTCCCCTCAATATGAATGGGAGGTTTGGTTATTGGGATCAATAACCTAGTATAACTTGACCCGTATGGATTGTTGGTGATTATTGATATAATAGTAGTATGAGCTATATTGCTCTTCCTTTTAACATTATTATTAATCTTTTATTGGTCTGGATATAGATATATTTTATTGGTGTGCATAAAACTAGTGTTTGGCCTCGTTGGCTTGTCATTTGCCATCTTTGATTTTCATGAATTTGATTGACAGCTAGCTTACAAAGTTTGTCAAAGATATAGAGATGACAACAGCAACTCCCACAACAATTTCAGATTAACTACTCTGTATGTCTATTCTCACGTTTTTTAATCTGTATCGCACAGCACATTAGTTGGTTTTGACTAGCACAGATTAAGATAATTGAAGGAATAATACAGTAATACCTTCTTTGATAATTGAAGGAATAATACATTTGAAATTTTTTTGACCAAACTCAATGATGTCGTGTGATCCAAGTAGCCAACTTCACCTAGTGGAATAAGGTTTGGTTGTTGTTGTTATACCCTTTTCGAAGCAGCCTATTCTGATTTCTGATTCCTTTGGTTTTGGGAGTTGGGAGCTTTATGGGAAAAAAAATGAAAAGAAATTTATTGAAGTGAACAATGTAGACTGATTTAAACTTTGATACTCAGAACTATGATAAATACAACTACTAAATCACACGAGAATGAGGTGTGCTATAGGCATCGATTGACCTATTAGTTGCTATGAAAAAATGGATTTTTCAAAAAAAATTATTGAGTAAGTCTATCTGTACAACTTTAACTAAAGCCACTAGAACTTAGCTTAGTAGTGAGGCGTTTGGATAGTTTGCATAAAACCTTATTCAAACCTTAATGCTACCATGTAAGTTGTTCCAGAAAAAGAGAGGGGGGTTGCTAATGGTTTCTTCTTTCTCTCTTTACTCTTCTTAATCATATTTGAATTATTTTTCTCATTTATGTTTCTGGTGTTCTTCTGATATGACCAGCCACCTTAGGCTAGTTTCCTTTCTCTTTATTTCAATTTGTAAAGCTGGGAAAATGATTTAGATAGTAAAATCAATGATAATATTTATAGAGATATTGAAAGCTTAAACTGCTATACAGCATGAAAGAATTGTTAGTAGTAGTGGGCGAAGTTCCGCTATGGCAACCCTGTAGCGTCGCGGTTGTCGCGCCGCGAATAGCAGTTGGAAATCATGGTTGTAGCAGCCGCTATGCTGTTCTCCTTAAAAATTCCGAATCTGCCCTTTGTTTTTTAAACATTTGGGGCTTTTAAGGGGGGGCCAATGTTGGGATTTCAGCCCCCCTTTATTTTTTGAATCTTCTCCCTCCCTCTCGCAGACCCTAGCCCCTCAACTCACCTTTCAACTCTCTCCTTAGCTCTCCTCTCATTTCTCCTTTCATTTCTTCTCTTTTCTCTTTGTTTTTTCTATTTCTTTCTCTGTTTTGATTCCCCTACTTTGTTTTGTTTCAAATTTCAAAGCTTCAAGTAGAAGCAATGGCTGCTCCTGCACATAGTTCCTTGGTAACTACCATCATTTTTCTTACTGTATTTCATGCACTATTTTCATATTTCATGAATAACGCCATCGAATTTTGAAAATTTTTTATATTCCTGTATTTTAATATTTTAAAATTTTCCCCGTATTAGAAAAAGCAACATTACATTGAGAGAGCCTCATCTAGCTCTGCTTTCTCCATGCTATCGAATTGGTTATCCAGCCCTAGCTCTCTTTGATGAGATTTCGAACCTTTCTCCATTCATCCTGCACCAAGTGATTAGGTATGTGCCGCATTCTCCCTCTCTCAACGTTATTTTGAACCCTAATTCTGTTTCTAGTTATAATTTTGCAGCTTTTGTTGTTCTCTCGTGCTGATTTTCTTTTGCAAAAAGCGTGTATAGCTATGCTTCTTCTTTTCAATGATTCAATTTCCGTGATTATTTTGTATTTGTAGACACAAAACATCTCGTTAAGGGACCACATAAATAACTCATGGGGTTATTTTTCTGTTCTGGATAGATAACACAGTAATGGATGAGAATTTGTGGCATAGAATTGAACTATGTATGTTTTTTACATGATGAGCAATTATTGGTTGATTGATACCTACATATTTTTGTCATCCGTGAGTTGTCTTGAAGAGTGAATATACAATCTGAATTCTGAAATATGTTGAATGTGGCCTGAAGAGTGGATATGCATGTTTAATCTGAAATATGATTAATATTATAATATCTTGAAGAGTGAATATACAATCTGAAATATGCAATTCCAAAAATATGGGATAACTATTTTGTTTACTTAAGATTAATCTATTTAGAATGGAGTTAATTATTTTATGTGATAACTTAGATAAATCATTTTTATATGCGCCAAACCGGTAATTCAGTGACATTTGCACTTGCAGTGCCACGTGCAATTTGTAGATTCCACTCTCCGCGTCACCAAGGTTGAACTTAATTTGCCACATAGTTCCTTGGTAACTACCATCATTTTTCTTCCTGTATTTCATGCACTATTTTCATATTTCATGAATAACAAAAGGTGCTTTTAAAGAAAGAGGTGAGTATGCCTTGGTCAGCAGTACAACACATCTTGTCTAAGTAAAAGCCATGGTAACTACCATCTTTTGAACCAAAACCCACTCTCTATTCTTCTCCCCATCTTCCTCTTACTACTAGTACTGACCAAGCCATCCTTGGTTTTGGTACTGGCAATTTCTCTTGTTTATGTTTCTAGATTTTGTCACAATTGTTTGGATATACATGTGCTGTATTATTTCAACTGAAATTATTTTTGTAAACTAAAATGAAAGTGCAAAGAGAGTGCATATGATGGTTTTACACTTGATCTCTGAACTTAAGGTAAGTTCACATGTTGATAAGTTCATTCACTGATGCTCTTTCTTTGCAGTTAATCATGAATCTGCCTGAAGGGCAGAAAAATATTTAATGAGGGTTAAGTATTGGGGACATAATTTTAAAAGACAATCATAGATTTAAAGTTATTGTTAAAGGGCATGCTTTTGCCTCATCCATAGTAGTCAATCCCGGATAGCAGCACGGAATAGTCAACCTCAAAAACGCTATAGCGGGAATAGCAGTAGTGGGATGACCGCTATTCTGAAGTTTTAGTACACACATATACATGCTGAAAAATATAAAATTAATATACAAATTTGGAACAAAATAAAAAAGAAAAATTCAAATTAGAGAAGGAAATAAATAACAAAAAGCAAAGGGTGCAGGAGCAGCCATTGCTTCTACTTGAAGCTTTGAAATTTGAAACAAAACAAAGTAAATGAATCAAAACAGAGAAAGAAATAGAAAAAACAAAGAGAAAAGAGAAGAAATGAAAAGAGAAATGAGAGAAGAGCTGAGGAGAGAGTGGAAAGGTGAGTTGAGGGGCTAGGGTTTGCAAGAGGGAGGGAGAAGATTTAGAAAATAAAGGGGGGCTGAAATCCCAATATTGCCCCCCCTTAAAAACCCCAAATGTGAAAAAAACAAAGGGCAGATTTGGAATTTTTAAGGAGAACAGCATAGCGGCTGCTACAACCGCGATTTCCAGCTGCTATTCGCGGCGCGACACTAAACCGCGACGCTACAGGATTGCCATAGCGGATCTTCACCACTCCGCTCCGCTACGCTGCCATAGGGGCCGCTATTGATAACTATGCTCTCATCTAAGCAAATTGTAATGATTATAGAGCAGTAGATAAAAATGCTTTTATAATCAATGTTTATAATGTTATTTTTCTTTTTTCTCATTCATTTAGAGAAGTTAAATTTGGTAAAGGTTAAAACACATACCCTACATTTCTCTACCTAAAACCAGTAGGTCCAGACAAAGCTTAAAACCAATCTGGTCCACTCTTAAAACAACTAAATTGTTTAACCAGTTCGTGAACTGGGATTATTTTATCAATCAGCAAGTTCCTTCCTGTGTCAACTTTCTATTTTTCTCTTTCTTTAGTTAATTAAAAACAAAATGCTAAATGTATGCTATGATGGTAACACCCAACATGGAAATTGTTGAAAGTCACATTTAAAAATGCAGAGAAGTGTAAAACTAGTGTTTGGCCTAATTGGCCAGTTGCTTGCCATCTTTGATTTTCATGAATTTGATAGATCTGCTTTGTCATTTGTGTCATTTTCTCTGCAGGTTCTTAATGACAATGAAACCACCATATTACTAATTCCCACTTCTGAATGATGTACTACACAGTGTCGTTTCCTAGCATGCATTTTGTTCCAGTAGGAAGATCTTTGTGCAGATACAAACGACTCACTTTAGCTGCTCATTCAAAAAGGAAAAGAAGACCACCACAGAACCGTCGGTATCAACCACATCCCAAGCAACCTCCAGAGTTTGGTGTTAATCTGTTCTTGAAGAAGCCTAGCACCACCTCTGGACCCATACCCATTGAAGAAGATATGTATGAAGGTCCTCATGAAGAGGAGGAAGAAAATATTGGTGTTGTTTGGGAATCAGATGAGCTTGAAGCCATCGCATCACTTTTTCAAGGTAGAATCCCACAGAAGCCTGGAAAATTAAATCGAAAAAGGCCTCTTCCTCTTCCAATTCCCTGCAAACTTCGACCTTTGGGACTACCTACACCAAAATCGCTAGTAAAATTGACAGCTCCAGGTGTGGTTTCTTCTCGTGCTTCTGTGGCTAAGAAAGTGTATAAAAGCCCGAGTTTCCTAATTGGGTTAGCAAGAGAAATAAGTAGACTTGGTCCAGATGAAGATGTATCTAAGATTCTTGGAAAGTGGGTGCAGTTCCTGCGGAAAGGGTCCTTGTCATTGACGATAAGAGAATTAGGCCACATGGGATGCGCTGAGAGAGCCTTGCAAACATTCTTATGGGCTCAAAATCAATCTCATCTCTTCCCGGATGATTGGATTCTGGCCTCAACTGTTGAGGTATTGGCTAGGAGCCATGAGTTAAAAATTCCATTCAACATAGAACAGTTTACTGGGTTGGCAAGTCGTGGTGTGTTGGAGGCAATGATTAGGGGGTTTATAAAAGGAGGAAACCTTAGACTAGCGTGGAAGGTTCTAGCAGTTGCCAGGAGGGATAAAAGAATGTTAAATTCCAGCATTTATGCTAAACTAATATTAGAACTTGGAAAGAACCCTGATAGACACAGGCACGTAGTGCCCTTGTTAGATGAACTTGGAGAACGAGACGAATTGAATTTAAGCCAACAAGATTGTACTGCTATAATGAAAGTCTGCACTAAGATGGGGAAATATGAAGTAGTTGAGAGCCTGTTTAGTTGGTTTAAACAGTCTGGCAATCAACCAAGTGTAGTTATGTTCACTTCTGTGATTCACAGCCGTTACATGGAGAAGAAATACAGAGAGGCCCTGGCTGTAGTTTGGGAAATGGAGGCTTCAAATTGCCTCTTTGATCTTCCAGCGTATCGTGTGGTAATAAAGTTGTTTGTTGCTTTGAATGATCTATCTAGAGCCATGAGATATTTTTCAAAACTTAAAGAAGCTGGATTTTCTCCCAGTTACGGCATATACAAGGACATGCTTCAAATTTACATGGCCTCCGAGAGGATATCAAAGTGCAAAGATATTTGCATGGAGGCCGAAATAGCAGGTTTCGAGCTAGATAAATATCTAGTGAATAGTGAAAAACTGTAGACTTTAAGAATTCTGCAGGCATCCTCTTGTCTGAATCAGTTTTGAATCCTACCATGGTAATGGGGCCTTCCATTTAATTTTGAAATATTTAATATAATATGAGGTGAATTTTTAGACTGAGTAACAAACTATGTTCTGCTAACAATTTCATTTGTCATTTATGAATCCTCTAAATAAACAACTTATATAAATTAATTCTTATAATTAGTTTTTTTATAAGTTTTTATTGACTTTCACTTCTAATAATTTTATCCATACACGTTCACTCTGCATATGCGTAATACTTCCTAGTATTGTAACGGAGTAAAATATCAATTTGGTCTTTGAAATTGTATGATTGTATCAATTTTATCTGAAAAATTATAAAAGTCTCAATTTATTCTTTAAAATTTAAAATTTTGTTTAATGTTAGTTTCTCTTATTAGTTTGCTTTGATCAATACTGAGGTGGCATTGTAGTTAATGATGATGTGGTACTAAAGTGGTAAATTGTAAATTTTGTTATATTTTTACTTTTAATTTCATTTAAATTTGATTCGTAGATTCTATTATTCATCTTATCTTCTCTTTTATAATGTTCTTCTCCGTCCCTCCTTTCTTTTCATTGAACTCTCAATTCCATTCCAATCTCAAAACTTGAACGAACCACCAATTTCAAGTTGTACCAAATCCTAAGTTCAAGCCTCCTAAAAAGACAAACTAAAAAATTGAATATATAATATTGTATAGAGTGTAGGGTTTATTTTGTACACAACTTTATTTTGTTCAATGTATAGTCCTTGTAATGCCATTTTTTTTTTTACTTAAAATGTATTATTGTTTTTCATACTTGTGTTGTAATATTGCTGTTTTTTTTAACACAACGACAAATGAAACCAAGACTGTTTTATAAATATTGTTGTTTATATAATGTAACTATGATTAAGTTTTTGTTGTTGTTTATGTTAAGTTTTTGTTGCTATTTTTATATATTCTTTGTTGTTTTTATAATGGTTTATAACAAAATCAATATGCACGTATTGCTAAATGAGCTTAACACTCTAAAACAAAATGAAAAAAAAAATTATAGAAAAAAAAATCACTAAAATTTCTTGATATTTTTTTTCTTCGATGTATCTTTCTTTTTCTTATTATCTTCTTCTATTTTTCTGTATTCTTTTCTCTTTTTAATTTTATTTTTACATTAATTATTAATATAATTTTTTTCCTATGTTTTTTTGTTTTTTCTCTATTTTTTACTTCTTCATTTTACAATAATTTTTTTTCTATTTCTTTTATTTTTTATTCTTCTTTTACATTTTCTTTCTTCTTCTTTTTTTACATTTGTTTCCTGTCCCTTTTTTTTTTTTTTTTTAAGTTTGTTATATGTTTAATATATTTATATATTGCTATTCTCTAGCAAACTATATTATATAATTATTCTATAAATTATTTAATACTTTTTTTAAAATATATATCATGTGACTGATTGAAAATTGTTATAATCAATTACATCTTTTTATATAAGTGTTTTTTTAACTTTACAATATTTTACATAAAAAAGGACTATATGATACTTATTATGTAAGCGTAGAAGAATTTAGTACAATATTTTTACTTATTTTAGCTCATAATCATAAAATGAGAGTTCTCAGAGACACTAATATTCAATTTATATTTATATTTATATTTTAAATTTTAAAAATTAAATTATATTTGTGAATATTCGTATAATTTCATTTAATTTATAAGAAAGATAATTCATGATATAATATTAATTTTTAATAATAAATTATATAAAAATAAATTTACTGTGTCATGATTTTTAAAAAAATATTAAGTTATTATTTAATTATATCAACTTTAACAATTTATTTAATAATTATTTTTGTATATTTAATCAATAGATTATTTTTTAAAAATTTATTAAATAAAATAATACAAAATTAAATTAACATCATACTATATAATTTAATTTTAACTTAAAATTTTAATTCTTTAAACATGCTAAAAATAAAATTATATAATTATGAAATTAAAATTATGAATATCAATTCTAATTGCATGCACCAAACGATTTTTAAAAAAAATTATTTTAAAATATTATTATTTTAATAATTATTTTTTAAAAAATAAAAAATTCCATTATTTAATCTATAAAATTATTTGATTAAACAAAAAAAAAACACCCGTTAAACTTAACGATCCTATCAATCCTTGATTTTCGTTTCTTTTCTTTTCCTAGACTTTCTCAGCAACCAAACACCTGGGAAAACTCAATTTCACCATCTCTTGTACGATTTGCACGGCGAACACTGCCAACCTGTCATTTCATGCATCAGTGCTAGGTTTACACCATCACACACTGTTTTCCTCTTGCCGATTTGGGAATTTTTGGCTGAAACAATTTCTATTTTGCAGTTGCGCACAATTTTTCTCCTCTGAACTCCAATATTCTTTTGTACCTCAGTTGCCTTGTGAGACCTCTCTTCTTAATCTACTTCTACTTCTAGGTTTTCCTTAAGTTCTAACGCTATTATCTTTAGAATTTTTAAGTTTTTATTTATTTATTTTTTATATACTTGCTGCAATTTCATTCCAAACGTGTGTGATGAATTTCACTGGGACTGTCAAAGTTGATGTGGTTTTGACATTATGCTCTCTAGTCTCTACCCTTAAGATAATGAGTAACAGTGTGTGTATTCTACAAACAGGTACTTCCACTGATGTTGCGGCTTAGTAGTTCGCGCTTTACTGTATTCCATTACTTGTTTTAAGTAGTGTTTAGTTGGGTAAGCTAGAATTTCAACTTTGGTGAAAACTTAGAAAACCTGAGAAAAATTGGCAATGACTATCGGTTTAGAAGGATGGAAGAACTTTGAGTTAGAATTATTAAAATCAATCAAATCCAATAAAGTTCACGTTGGCAAGTCTAAGCTGAATTGACGGATTCATTTATTTAACATCAAGATTGTTCTTGTCATTGCTTATTTTGTTTTCTAAGCATGTTATACTCTACACTTAATTCTTTGCTAGTTTGCTAACAAACCTTTTTTTAGAGTACTATTGTGCATTCTAGCTTCTATACTTTGCTTAAATTACAAAATTTGTTAGCAGTTTTTTATCACGCAATATCATCTATGTATATAATATTCATAAAGTTGGTGCTGAGTGATTGATGAAAGTATGAACATTTTAATGTGGAAACATGTAAGATAAGAAAATGAGTTTCAATTCTTATCTTTACGTTGATTTATACCTTATGTGTGAGTTCTTCGATTTCCCCTCAATATGAATGGGAGGTTTGGTTATTGGGATCAATAACCTAGTATAACTTGACCCGTATGGATTGTTGGTGATTATTGATATAATAGTAGTATGAGCTATATTGCTCTTCCTTTTAACATTATTATTAATCTTTTATTGGTCTGGATATAGATATATTTTATTGGTGTGCATAAAACTAGTGTTTGGCCTCGTTGGCTTGTCATTTGCCATCTTTGATTTTCATGAATTTGATTGACAGCTAGCTTACAAAGTTTGTCAAAGATATAGAGATGACAACAGCAACTCCCACAACAATTTCAGATTAACTACTCTGTATGTCTATTCTCACGTTTTTTAATCTGTATCGCACAGCACATTAGTTGGTTTTGACTAGCACAGATTAAGATAATTGAAGGAATAATACAGTAATACCTTCTTTGATAATTGAAGGAATAATACATTTGAAATTTTTTTGACCAAACTCAATGATGTCGTGTGATCCAAGTAGCCAACTTCACCTAGTGGAATAAGGTTTGGTTGTTGTTGTTATACCCTTTTCGAAGCAGCCTATTCTGATTTCTGATTCCTTTGGTTTTGGGAGTTGGGAGCTTTATGGGAAAAAAAATGAAAAGAAATTTATTGAAGTGAACAATGTAGACTGATTTAAACTTTGATACTCAGAACTATGATAAATACAACTACTAAATCACACGAGAATGAGGTGTGCTATAGGCATCGATTGACCTATTAGTTGCTATGAAAAAATGGATTTTTCAAAAAAAATTATTGAGTAAGTCTATCTGTACAACTTTAACTAAAGCCACTAGAACTTAGCTTAGTAGTGAGGCGTTTGGATAGTTTGCATAAAACCTTATTCAAACCTTAATGCTACCATGTAAGTTGTTCCAGAAAAAGAGAGGGGGGTTGCTAATGGTTTCTTCTTTCTCTCTTTACTCTTCTTAATCATATTTGAATTATTTTTCTCATTTATGTTTCTGGTGTTCTTCTGATATGACCAGCCACCTTAGGCTAGTTTCCTTTCTCTTTATATCAATTTGTAAAGCTGGGAAATAGTAAAATCAATGATAATATTTATAGAGATATTGAAAGCTTAAACTGCTATACAGCATGAAAGAATTGTTAGTAGTAGTGGGCAAGGTCATTTGAGGAATGGAGATTATATATATGTGATATTATCTTAATATCATACGCATAAAGTTTTAGATAATTTCGATTACAATAGGTATGTTATCTTATAGTTGACATTTTCTTGATTTATGAAGAATGGGTTGCTTCTTAAATTGTATAAAATTTCATAGTCTTGATTTATTCAATGTAAAGGGCTAGATTAACAAATTTCAATGTCCATAATAGTTATTGAATGGAGTGAGTTTACTGAAACTTACTCTTGGAATAAGGGGATCCCCGCCCTATATATATATAGTAGACATGTTTGGTTTAGTTCCTCACCAATATTCTTGAGTACTTAACTTAGCACCAATGTTTTTGTATTAATGAAAATGTGACCTCTTGATCTAGTAGTTTGTACTTTATATGCAATAGCGCTTTATTAAAAGAATATTTACATGTGTTGACTTTTGAACTGTAATTTTGTTAAGAATTATGCAGTATTTCTATAACTAATCACTAGTAGCATCCAGTGATGGAGTAACCAACCTCTATCTATAACATGGATGTAAATTACTGTTCTTTCTTTCCCTAACTTCTGGCTTTGTGTAGTATGTAAAGAAATCTTCTTCTTTTTTCCTAACTAATGCTTCATACTTAGTGAGAGCGAGAAATGGAACCACCACAGGCAGGTTCAAGAGGAGCAGAAGCACTTAAACATTTATCTCCCGGATCATCAATTTCTGTTGCATATCACCCACTTTTTGGACCTTATGATGATCTCGTCCTTCTGGAGATTGATGAGAAACTTCTCCCTGATGTTCTATGCGAAAGGTATTGCAACTCTCTCCCTGCCCTCACCTTCCCCAACTTGTGTTTCAGTTTAACATGATTTCTACTCTATCTAGGGTGGTCTTAAGAGGACAGCCTGATGAAGATGCAGTTCTTTGTACCCAATCAAAAACATATGCTATCAAGTTCGTTGGAACTTCCAATTCTGTTCTGCTTATACCACCTAGGAATCAGTCAGAATTTTATGAAAATCCACAAAAGAATGATAATAATAATGATGATGATGAAGAGAAAGTTGTTGCACCTGTAATCAAAGTTGCACCTGGTAACATGGAGCTTGTAGAGGTAGCCCCCAGACTTGATAAACTTAAATTGCTTCTTTCAGAGAAACCTTACAGTTTCGAGGAGTATGACATGGGAAATTTAAAAGAGAATCAGGAATCTAGAGTAGGATTATATAACTGGAATGATCTTATAGACAATATTCAAGCTAGTGATGAGGAATTAAGGTCTGCACTGCAGGCTCTTTCAGCGCTGGAGATTAATGGATATTGGAGATTAGTGAGCGAGAGTTACATGGACATGATTCTGGGAATGCTTTTGAAAAACTCAGTGTTGAATGACTGGTCACTTGCTGCACTAAATGAAGATGAAGTTGTGAGTACACTGGAATCAGATGGATTTCCTGTGGTACTTGCAAGGCATTGCTTGCATGTATATGGCAAGAAAGTAAACGATAGAATTGGTAGTTGTGTCTGGAAGTTGGATGAGAAGTGGGTATGCATACATTTTGCAAGAGAAATCCTGAGAGGAGGTAAGAGGAAGTTAGAGAGTTTCATGGATGAATGGAAGCAGAAGACACCAGATGGAATGCAGCCCACTTTTGATTTTGTGGAAGGAGAGGTATTAACGGAGAGAGTTGGAGTTGAGACATGGGTTTATGCCTTCAGTGTTTCTTCTTTGCCTTCCAGTCCAGCTGAACGTTTCTCCATTCTTTTCAGAGAGAGGCCAAAATGGGAATGGAAAGATCTGCAACCTTATATCAGGTGTACATCTCATAATTATTTTTACTTAAACAATGTCATCTTTTTTTTACATTTGAATTAACCCCTTTTTGGATGTTTCAGGGATCTGAATATACCAGGTCTCTCTTCAGAAGGTCTGCTACTCAAATACACTCGAAGGACACAACCATCACCTGATACAGAACCAGTTTTTAGTGCAAGATAATATGTACTTGTGTATCTTTCAGTCCCCCTTACTTCGGATTAACCATGTCTAGTACCTACATGTAAAAGTTTAGAATTATCTTGTATTTGCACTTCTGGTTATTTTCAAGCATATTCATATACATGTGCGACTATATAAAATCTAGATTTATTACAATACCTACTATTTAAGGCGCGCTTAGCAGAAGTAACTCATGCTAGAGTGATAAGCTTTATGTCTTCCCTTCCATATTTGAAGATTACTCATCGCTTTTAAAAGAATGTAGATCGACCAAAATACTGAGACTTGAAAGAGAATTGGTGAAGGTACAAGCTTTGACGTCAGAAATGGATTGCCTCGTGTATTTGCTTTTACAGATTTCCTTCACTTGTGTTGTTTTCCCAACTCCTCATCGCTTATATCATCATCAATATGAGCCAAACTGCCTATTTGATGGAAAACCCTGCTCCGGGTAACACAAGTAATTAAGATATATTATTACAAGTTATCGTCCTTGAAACTGTAATTAAGATATATTTGTGGTACCTGCTGTTGCTGAAATTATGTTAGTTGTTGATTGCTTTGAGTCCCTAGTGTTGACAAATAAAATATAAACCTTGTTGATTAGTGCCTGTTTGGAAAACTTTCATAATCAATCCTGAGAATTGAAAAATTATCACTTTTGTCAAACTAACGTAAGAAAGTGTGCACAACCTTCTATGAGAGTTTATCTTTATTGTAAAGAGGAAAATTTGCAACATTTCCTAACACGTTTTTTTTAATATATTCTTAACTATTTGTTAAAATTTATTAAAAATTATAACGTATATTAATTTATAAATGAGAAAGAGTGTAATTCACATCATTTATATAACTTTTAATAAATTTTAGTTAATAGTTAGAAATTTATTAGAGTATTTTGCTAGAATCTCTCATGGCAAATCAAGTTTAGCTTTTTAGCAAATAAGTTATTTTCTAGTGTATATCAATTTTTAGCATAAAATGAGCGATGGTGGTATTTTAGGCCCGAACTAAAAATCATGTTACATGGTAGTAATTATTTTTCACGTTAAAGAGAATCGTTTTATCTGTGTATAAACAAGTTCTTAGTTTCTCTTGGTTGATAGCTTAGTGGTAAAGCTAGAGGACATGGATGTAAAGACCAAAGGTTCAAACCTTGTCATATGTAGAAACTACAACCCTATTCCCCTCCCTAAAACAAAAAAATAAAAAAAAAAGTTTTGTTGACCTCCTCTCTTAGGAATGAATATAAACAATTAATAATAAAATTTTATTAAAAAATATTTGTTCTACTTTTATAACTTTAATAAAATAAGATAAATGAGCAATTTTTTTCAAAAAAAATTATTTATAAATATTTAAACTCATCCCTAAAAGTTGGGGTTACCAAAAAATAAAATAAAAATCCATTATATTAAGTTAGTATATCAAGAGTTTCATGGTTTTTTAGTTTTTGGTCACTTGGAGAGGAAAAGGAAAGGTAATATGAATATTTTCAAGACTCAAGATTTAAACCATGGTCATCTTGCATATAGCCCTAGTTCTCACCACTTAAATTATAATACAAGGTTATCAAGAGTCCAATTAAGCAGTCACATGTATTTTGCAATATTCGAACTGGGCAAAACAGCCCATAGAGTAAGCTAGATCACAAAGCGGTCTAAGCCACTTGATTTAACAGTAGTCGAAATTTTAATAAAATTGGAAGTACATAAGCTGGCTATAATAATCCACAGGACTTTGTGAGCTTTCTGTCCCTACGAACTTCACCCTGTTTAGGTAATTTTAAGCCATATGAATCAAGACTAAAAGAGATTGGCAGGACTGATTTGATAGGTCAAGTGATAATGCATAATAAAACAAAGCTTGACCAAAAAAAAAAACAACAACAAAGAAATGAATTACTAATGAAGATTTTGCTAAGCAAAATTAGGAAATGCAACATATATAGTTGTGAACAAAAATATTTATGAAACAATGTGTATAAAGCAAAAACATATATCCTTATTATTTAATTAGATAATAAAAGATGTCAAAAGTTTACTTTTGAAATTTGATTTTTTTACACAAATGAAAAATATATTTTTAAGACCATAATATTTTAATTTTATATTATACGTTTCGTGTGTAAGATTAGTAAGTTAATTGTTTTTCGACATTGTAACTATATTTACTGTATATGAAAAATGTGACTTAATTGATTTAATATATAAAAGATTCTATAAAATAATAAAAAAATTCTATAAGTTATATATATTGTATGCATAAATTTTGTTATCTAATTATTTCTAATTAATAAATTTAATTAACCTAATAAAATGTATAAAATAAAAGTAAACTGAGTTTTTTTTTTGTGAGTGAAAAACTAAAATAAACAAATTTCATAACAGAAAATAACTAAAATATGCTTTATAAGGATTCATTTAAAGACAGAAGAGAAGATTTCAAAATTTTAAAGATTGAATAAGCTCTCAAACTCATCTTAGTAAGATTGTCTGGAATGGTATTGATATAATCAATAAAGTGAGAGTGAAATATTTAAATGAATTTTGTTAAAATATAACATTTTTTTAGATATTTAAAAAAAATTATTAGTATATGTTTAACTTTTGTTTATTTTAAAACATTTTTATGAATAACAATAACTAAAATAAGAGTATTTTCTAACATGGATTTAAAGTTAGAATAAACCATAATAATTCATTTAAATAAAAATTAAACGTATAAATTGAGAGATGAAATTATTAGTATAATTATACTTTTGATTCTTAGTTTAGACTATGTGTAGTTTTGATTTCTTAGCTTTGTTTGAGTCAATTCTCTTAATTTTTAAAATTATCAAATTTAGTTTCTCTATTAATTTTTTTCTATTTAAAATACTAAAATTATTATTGTTATAAAAATTATAAATAATTTAATTAATTTTTAAAACCTTATTAAAATCACAACCACCAATCTGTACCCCCTACTTTTTAATGTGAGGTATCCTTTTATTTTAAGCAAAACTTATGTTTAAGAGTTAGATATCATACAATATTTTTTTTATACGAGGACTTATACCATAAATTTGATTATAAAATATGTCTAAAAGAACATCGATAAACTACACTGAGAAGCTTTATTGAAAAAAGTTGAAAAAACTTACAACAGCTATAAACTATTTTCATAAATTCTTTCAATCACTCCATTAGTATATCTTACTAATTTTCATGCAATAAAGCCCTTAGTTGTAACTTTGTCATCCCTTATGATCAAATTCTTCCAAATGAATGCATGAAATTCGTTTAAAATGATAATGGGTAAATAAAAAATCTTACTAAACAATGCCTTAAGATACTAAGTAAAAAATTAAAAATCATATTAAATATATATTAAAAGTTATAATAAATGTGCATTTAATAAGCTTCTTAATAGAAAAAAAAATTCCTCTTTTGATTCCACACCATTTTGGTTGACATTTACCTTAAATAACTCCATTCATTTGCAGATCATTGTCATACTCCATTCATGACTAGTAAATCTCTTACCCCTAGGGTAAAACATTACCTGCAAAACATTCTGTATCAAATGAATTGTTTTATTTGAAGTGCTCTAGACAAGGTCATATTTACTTCAAGGTATAATATAATATTCTCAATGACATTCTTGAGTAAGTTAAAATATATATTTGGTTAAATTTGAATGTTCCTATAAATAAATTTTAAAATTGGGGCGGGAGGGGGTGTTAGAAAATAACTTCCCATATTTCCGTGGTAATACAACATTCCTGCGTCCCATAATAGAAATCAAAATCAACTAGAACAAGATAATATTACTTTCCCAGGAATATACAATACCTAAGAATAATTTTTCAAAGCTTGCAACAAACACACGCTGTGTACTCGGGGAAAAAAAAAAAAACCCTCACACTTTCAAGTGCAAAGCTGAGCTTCCATTCAGAAGCAGCATGGACAACAATCTTACCAAAGCCACTTCTTTAAAGGTTATTTAGATCTAAATCTTTTTTAGTAGTCTCACTAGAAGGATCTGCCGATTAGAAAAATGTTTTGATCGTTCAGTAGTATCACCAAACTAAAACCCTCTACGCCATAATTCAGCCCTAATGAATGCTAACTTTTGGCTCTATTTGGAAACCAAAAAGTTTATACAAAAAGAACAAAATAAATATAAGGGCTCCTATAACACAAATAAACAAGTTTTTTTTGCTGAATTAAACTGGTTCTGCTGTCTTAATGTTGTATCTACGTCCTGCATCTGTAGAAGTCCAGCATTTCTTCCTCCAAGGGATGGGTCTTGCCTGTTATAACTAGGCAATGCAAAGGTGCTCCAAAATCAATCAACTGCAACTGCCTCATTGTTCCAGCTACTATCAACTGATCTTCACTTCCAAGCCGAGCAAACCCAACACACTCAGTATCCTCAGTATAGGCTGCAAGGCAATGAGGGGAAAGGCTACTTTTAATTAGATAGCTATATTTCTGATGAGAAAAAATAGGAAGTCCGTACGAGAAGAATATAAACTCTTACCACAGTGAAGATTGGCTCCTAATGAGCAAATTCTACAATGGCACACAGGGAAACAAATACAGAAATGACTGATCTATAACAAAAGCTAAAACAATCTAATGAAAACCAAGCATTTTAATGTGCCAAAAATCTAAAACTGGTGACTATGTTAGGGTAAAAGGACAAAATTAGGATACAATCAATGGTTTTGTAAGACTAAGACAATAGCTAATTTTAAAATGGATACATATATTTGACAATAATTTCTCTAGCTTCAAACTAGTTATAACTTGTAGCAGTTCATCAACACAACTCAGTATATCCTAGAGAGTAGATTACAAAAATAAAATTTGGGAAGCTTAAAAGAACTGATGTCTCTGAGAATGGATTCAAGCTTAAATAATACTATCTCCGGATCTCTGGTGTCTGAAGATATGCTAGACCAAACAAAAAGAGCCAACTGGAAGTAAGAAGATGCTCCAAAAAAGAAAAAGCAATCTTCAAGATAATCACGTGTTTTGACTTCTATGTCAATTTAATTTATATATTAAGCAGCTACAAAGTGCAAAGGATAAATGAATTTGGTTGAGAAAATCAGTAATAATTTGTTTGAAAGCAGCAGTGAAACTTTAACAAACAATAAAGACACATCATTTTGCTATTTGCTTTCAGTGGGAGGAACTCACACTGTTTGATAGCACAATATTTTTAAAATAGCACAAAATAAGCTTATTATAATGTTTCCGGCAAATAAAGTACAACCCAGATCAAATTTCGAAGGTTTATATCTCTGAATATTAGTACAATCAAGAAGCAAATAATATGCACTTGGAAATTTATGCAGTAGCTCACCAGGTTCTTCACGGACTTGCACAATCTCCAAGAGTTGCTCAATGGCTGTATTTACCGTCATATATTTGGGTGGTTCATAGGTTTTTTTCCCTCTGAAATGACCAAATTTAAAAGATAAATAAGAACAAAGAATGGGGCATAGGCAGATATGAAGAAAAGCATGCAAGAATAATTCACCCAAAGCCATGATACAGGTCAGAAGACTCATAACATAAGAATCATTGCCAGAGCACTTCAGTGACTAACGGATTAAACAACTATTTAGCAACAAAAAAATGACCAGATGGCAGAAAGAAAACCAACCTGCACAAAGATTCTAGTGTGGGCTCCTTCACCCGAATATCTGTGTAACCATGCCAAAGTGGAAATCATATTAGCTTTCTCAAGAAACATAAAGGAAGAACTATACTAGTCAAAAAAGAAAGATTTTCTCTAATATTGTCATCAATTTCAGGTGGTACAATCACTTGACATTTATGGAAATAAAATAACAATTTTTATGACTAACTGTTTTTTAGATATTTACATGATAATACACTTTTGGTATTCCATGCCAAAATGTAGAAGATAATAAATTTAGTGAAAAAGTTTTGAGTGAACTGATCAGTATATGCAAGAAGCATTTATAACATACTCACACTACTTCATTCAAGAATCTAATACATGCTGCACCAGACCAATGCATTCCAGCAAGATAGTAAGTATATGAATTCGTTAGGTTCAATAAATGTGATGACCCATGTTAGATTTATTTTTTTAAATAAAAGTGGATGTGATACGAGCACAAAAATTTATAGCACGGGCAGTAATATAAACCACAAATAACAGATAGTAACCTAACAAGCAAAGCGTGTGCAGTCCGATCATTCGGTTTTGTTGAATCTTTTCATAGAAGCTATCAGGCCTCCATGTCTCTGTAAAGAATGGTATGGAAACAGTCTCCCCATAACGATATAGCTGTAGACCACAAATTCCAATTGCATTCATCACAGATGTATTGTGTACTATTTTGACATCAATTCCCATCTTCTTTGCTCGAACAACAAGGTCAGTGTGAGTAGTAGCCCTAAGAAAAAATATAAAATCAATTCATTAATATTAAGCAAGAGCATTTGATCAACAAAGCAATGTAAACTTTGAATAGAGAGAAAAGCAAGGAAGTAGGGGTATAGCATACCCAAAAGGGTCCCCAACAACTAGGAAAGCAACATGGGCATCATGAGCCTCAGAAAGAATTTCATGGGCTTTTTCTTCTACCATTTCTCTGTCAGCAAGAGTAATGGGTTTACCGTATAGCTTTTCCTAATGATTATAAAAACAGAAGTAAAAAGTGAAAATTGAAGAAGGAAATAATAATAGAAAAGTAAAGGAAAGGTGGATAGATAGATGATACCAAGTTGGAGAGGCCATCAGTGGAGAGACCAAAGCAAAGGAGGGAAGTGTAAGCTTCCATGTAAACCTTTTCACATTTTTTCACAGCTTCCAAACCTTTGAGAGTGATATCTTGCTCGTCACCCAATCCTAAACCAATTATGTATAACATTTCTGTTCTCCACTCTTTGATATTTGCTTCTGAAATCACAAAAACCACACTCCTTCCTCCTAATTAATTCCCCACTTATTTTTTCTTTTCTATTCACCAAAACCCTCACTCTCAACCCTACACACACACGTTCAGGAGCTTGCAGCCACGATCATCATTTTCTCTCTTCTACACTTCAGCAGAACAAAAAAGATATATTTACAAAGGTTAACACATGATTGTGTAGGACTCTCTCTTGGTGTCTGAAACTTATGTTACCACAGTACTAAGCACAGAACCATAGAACACGAGCCTATGATTAAAAGTAACAAAGAAAAATAGAGTAAATTGTAGTAATGCAAGAATTCAAATGGAGTCACTGAACGCTCTGAAATTAAAAACAAGGCAATAACAGATCCAACAAGAGTAGGAAGAAAGAGCAGAAATAGACAGATAATGGAGGATAACACAGCAGCGAACGGAGATGGTGGCCGGAGATAACGCGGCGGTGGTGGCGGCGGCGAGATAGGGTCTCTCAGCTTTGATTTCAACAACGACATGAGTCTTTGCTAAATTCAGTGGTTTTCTTTACACATCGAGCTTCACTTTCTCGGCCCAAGGCCCAACCCAACATTTGTCTTACTATACAAAGTCTATATTTGGGTTGGACCAAAAAAAAAAAAAACCTTTTTTTACTCTGTTTGTTAAAGAGAATTAAAACAGGAAGAGTTGATTAAAAAAAAAATTTGAGTTCTAATTGGGTTTTCCTTAATGGCTTGGGGTGTGTTTGGTGATACGTTAAATTCATTGAAACGTAAATCCATTTCAACCTTATAACTTTTACTTTAAAATATAATTTAACCTAATTTTATTAGGTTTCAAAATATACACGGTAAGTTCAAAGAACATGATGTCAAAAAGTCCAATTAACCCAGTCCTAGCCCTGGCCTAAATGGGTTAGGACCAAAAAGCCCAATAAATTAAAAGTCCTATGGGCTAAAAAGCCCACTAGGCTAGGGTTAAGGCTAGTGCTTCAAGGGCCAAAATTTTTTAATAATTGCAAGTTTTTAACTTAATTATTAACCACATTTGTGCCAATTTATTTATGTTAATTGACAGGAAATTAGAATCTTTTGCCCAACTACCCTTCAAGTGTCGTATACCATGTATATTTCTTTTGTATATTCTCGACTTCAATTTATTAATCACACTTGTTAATGTCTCTTGATTTTGTCACAATTGTTTGGATATACGTGTTCTGTATTATTTCAACTGAAATTATTTTTGTAAACTAAAATGAAAGTGCAAAGATAGTGCATATGATGGTTTTACACTTGATCTCTGAACTTCAGGTAAGTTCACATGTTGATAAGTTCATTCACTGATGCTCTTTCTTTGCACCTAATCATGAATTTGCCTTAAGGGCAGAAAAATATTTAATGAGGGTTAAGTATTGGGGACATAATTTTAAAAGACAATCATAGATTTAAAGTTATTGTTAAAAGGCATGCTTCTGCCTCTCATTCATAGTAGTCAATCCCAGATCACGGCGCAGAGCAGTCAACCTCAAAAACGCTATAGCGAGAATAGCGGTAGCAGGATGACTGCTATTCTGAAGTTTTAGTACACACACATACATGCTGAAAAATATAAAATTAATATACAAATTTGGAACAAAACAAAAAAGGAAAACTCAAATTAGAGATGGAAATAAATAACAAAAAGCAAAAGGTGCAGGAGCAGCCATTGCTTCTACTTGAAGCTTTGAAATTTGAAACAAAACAACGTAGGAGAATCAAAACAGAGAAAGAAATAGAAAAAACAAAGAGAAAAAGAGAAGAAAGGAAAGGAGAAATGAGACGAGAGCTGAGGAGAGAGTTAAAAGGTGAGTTGAGGGGCTAGGGTCTGCGAGAGGGAGGGAGAAGATTCAGAAAATAAAGGGGGCTGAAATCCCAATATTGCCCCCCCTTAAAAGCCCCAAATGTTAAAAAAAACAAAGGGTAGATTCAAAATTTTTAAGGAGAACAGCATAACGGCTGCTACAACCGCGATTTCCAGCTGCAATTCGCGCACGATAGCAGTGACACTAAACCGCGACGCTACAGGTTTGCCATAGCGGAACTTCGCCCACTACCACTAACAATTCTTTCATGCTGTATAGCAGTTCAAGCTTTCAATATCTCTATAAATATTATTATTGATTTTACTATCTAAATCATTTTCCCAGCTTTACAAATTGATATAAAGAGAAAGGAAACTAGCCTAAGGTGGCTGGTCATATCAGAAGAACACTAGAAACATAAATGAGAAAAATAATTCAAATATGATTAAGAAGAGTAAAGAGAGAAAGAAGAAACCATTAGCAACCCCCCTCTCTTTTTCTGGAACAACTTACATGGTAGCATTAAGGTTTGAATAAGGTTTTATGCAAACTATCCAAACGCCTCACTACTAAGCTAAGTTCTAGTGGCTTTAGTTAAAGTTGTATAGATAGACTTACTCAATAATTTTTTTTTGAAAAATCCATTTTTTCATAGCAACTAATAGGTCAATCGATGCCCATAGCACACCTCATTCTGGTGTGATTTAGTAGCTATATTTATCATAGTTCTGAGTATCAAAGTTCAAATTAGTGTACATTGTACACTTCATCAATAAATTTCCTTTAATTTTTTTTTTTCCATAAAGCTCCTAACTCCCAAAGCCAAAGGAATCAGATATCAGAATAGGCTGCTTCGAAAAGGGTACAACAACAGCAACCAAACCTTATCCCACTAAATGAAGTTGGCTACATGGATCACACGACATCATTGAGTTTGGTCAAAAAACAAATTTTCAAACGTATTATTCCTTCAATTATCAAAGAAGGTATTACTTTATTATTCCTTCAATTATCAAAGAATTTATATTGTGGACAGTAGAGCTGTCAAAAAGCCCAATAAATCAAAAGCCCTATGGGCTAAAAAGCTCACCAGGCCAAGGTTAGGGCCAGGGCTTCAAGGGCCAAATTTTTTTAATAATTGCAAGTCTCCAACTTAATTATTAACCACACTTGCGCCAATTTATTTATGTTAATTGACAAGAAGCTGGAATCTTTTGCCCAACTACCCTTCAAGTGTCGTATACAATGTATATCTCTTTTGTATATTTTTTACTTCGTCGTTAACCTTTACCACAGTATTATAATTAATGTATATTTCACAAATTAAACAACAATATGTTTCCTCGAGATAAATCTCTTATTTTTTGTCGAATTAGTTCCTGCATCAATGAACTATACTTTACAATTAATAACTTTTTCATATCATTCATTCAATGAAAAAATACAAATCTGAACACTCATCGTTGGATAACTAAATAATTTAAAGTTACAACAACTATGAAAAAAACATGGCATAAACATTATTATTTACACTTCAATGAAAAAATTTTGAAAAGAAAGATGAAATAGTAGAAAACATATGCGCATATCATATTGTTTTACTGGAGAGTGGTATACTGAATTTAATTTAAAAAACATGTACTAACAGATTAAAACTTGAGCAAAGAGTGACGAATAGATGGCAATTTGACTACCTCAAGGCCCGTACATTTGAGGCACTAACAGATTGTATATTTTGTAATTCAAAAATTTACAATTTTCATTCTTAAACTTATGGCACCTAAAAAGGCTATGCTGAGCTATGACTTATAAATTTAAATTATCAAAACATTAGAATAATTAAGACCCTCAAAAGTTAATTCCAGTCAGCAAGTGCCATTTGACTACAACTTGCAAATCAATAAGTTAAGGTTATTATAGATTTGCAGTGTTTTGAGCAAAAAAAATTGACACAAAAAACTTCAATGTCAATTTTTCTCCTGTGAACCAGGGAAAGAAGGCAGGAAAAAACATATAACTTAAAACAATTTGGCAGCCATTCATTACTCATATTCCACTTCCACCAGAGATCAACTAACCCTACTGAACCAACTCTGGACCCAACAGTGCATTCTTTTTTTAGCAACGAAGATAGATAGCAGATGCAAACACATATAAAATACAAACACTAAGCCAAGTGAAAATTTGCATCAATCCACATCATATTCAAATAAAAACCAACTCTTATAATAAAAAAACATCACACCACGGTAATTTCAGGAAGCTCTGGACTAATAAGTCACGTTTGCAGTAAATATTTCTTAATTGTAAAAACCACAAAAGCATGGATGGGAGGAAAATAGAGGAATCCAACAAAAATTTAAACAATCATTTGATGTCAACCAAAAAGCAAAAGACCGAAACATATTAGTATAGAAGATCATAACCAATTATGCACAACGCAGGTTGATGTAAGGAAGCTATGTAGTTGAATAGCATGTTTATGTAGAAGATCATAGCCATGAGCTTCACTAGGTTAATCCAATAAAATAATTAACTCCATTCTAAATAGATTAATCTTAAGTAAACAAAATAGTTATCCCATATTTTTGGAATTGCATATTTCAGATTGTATATTCACTCTTCAAGATATTATAATATTAATCATATTTCAGATTAAACATGCATATTCACTCTTCATGCCACATTAAACATATTTCAGAATTCAGATTGTATATTCACTCTTCAAGACAACTCACGGATGACAAAAATATGTAGGTATCAATTAACCAATAATTGCTCATCATGTAAAAAACATACATAGTTCAATTCTATGCCACAAATTCTCATCCATTACTGTGTTATCTATCCAAAACATAAAATAACCCCATGAGTTATTTATGTGGTCCCTTAATGAGATGTTTTGTGTCTACAAATATAAAATAATCACGGAAGTTGAATCATTGAAAAGAAGAAGTATAGCTATACACGCTTTTTGCAAGAGAAAATCAGCACGAGAGAACAACAAAAGCTGCAAAATTATAACTAGAAACAGAATTAGGGTTCAAAATAACATTGAGAGAGGAAGAATGCGGCACATACCTAATCACTTGGTGCAGGATGTGTTGGGCTCAAATGCGGAAAAATTTGGACGTGTAAATTAAAATTCTGACGTAAACTGGCGAGCAATAATGCAGATCTAATAAATAGATCTAATAGCGCAGCGGTGTAACTTGTAAAGTGTGCACTGGAATACTTCACAGGAAGAGAGGTGGATCACAACAGATCACTTAAATACCAAGTCTTTCCTTAGCCAGAACCTTTCCAGTTACTAATACAAAAAAACACACTTCTCCAGCAATCCAACAATCAGCCACGGAAGGATAACAGAAATAATTCTTTTCTGATGTGGAAGATCAGACTAAACTGCAACCACAGAGCATACTAAGAATTATTCTAACTGAATAAAATAAGCAGATAAAGAACACCAATATTTAACGTGGAAAAACCTCCAATGTGGAAGAAAAAACCACGAGACAAACTCCGAAAAATATTCCACTATATCTCGGGATATTTACAATATCCTTTCGACACTCTATCACACAAGAGATGTAAAATATAGTGTATCCAATGAGACCCACTCCTATTCAAATATTACAAATTTTGTAATACCAAGAAGAAATAGAGATGATACCCACCCCAGTATATTTTTCTCACACTCTTTAGGATTTACTCAACACTCTATTTTTCTCTCACTAGAATTCTATCAATGCTTGATAAAACACTCTTGTGATGCACACACTCAATTTCATTCCTTACGGCTATTTATAGCCAAATGAAGTTACTATTCACTTATTAAAATATTATTTATTTGT